GAATTGAGAAGCCTCCAATGGGCTGAAGCAAGAAACCATTTTTTATTTGAAACCAACACCAACCAAGTCATCTACGTACATGTGGATATATATGAACATGGGTGTGGGTGGGCACATTTGTGTGAATTATTTTTCTTTTTAATCATCCCACTGTATTTGTTGTGGTTTTTTCTCAGCCCTTTAGGAAGCATCAATTGAAGCGACGGGTAACTCCTGGAAGAAATGACATTTAGAAGACGTTATTATCCAAAGTGACTTAATACGTGCAATAAACAATACAGATACCAACTCTAAAAAATAACGAGAAAAATGCACATTCACTTCAAATAAGCCAAATCATTGTGAGTGCTGGTGCATTATAAATGGGCTAAACACTTAAAGTATATATTTCTTTTTTCTTCTTCTTTTGTGTTCAATTTAATGTCCAAGGTAACTGGTTGGGTTTTTATGAGGACTAATATGAGGACCCTCTTTTTTTTGTGTTATTTTGTTTCTATTATATTTATAGTTAATGTTAAAACATGAGTTTGTGTTCTGACCAAAAAAAGAAATCTCTCATTAGAGAATAGGGGCGGACCGAGAAAGGATCTGTATTTAAAACCAACATTCTATATTAGACTCCAAAGCTCTGTGTGGGTTTGATATGTACCATTTGATTGATCTACATTTGAAGGGAAATACAAAATGATTCATAAACACTCTGCCTTTTATAACACCTTGCTAGCTATCCTTTACTAATATTAGCTGGGACATGCTTTATTCCCAATGTCCTTATTTTGCAGCAGTAACAGTGATCAGGATGGCCCTGGCTATAACCTGGTGCTTTGTGTCTCCCTCTCTCAGTTGTCGTACGGCTCCAGCTCTCCGGCTCTGTCTAACCGACAGCGTTTCCCCACCTTCTTCCGCACCCACCCCTCTGCCACGCTGCACAACCCCACCCGGGTGCAGCTCTTCCAGAAGTGGAAATGGACCAAGATCGCCACCATTCAGCAAACCACAGAAGTCTTTACATCAGTGAGTCACTCAGCTGTTAGCTCAGCGTCCTTCAAATGTGCTTTCACAGGTTTAGTTTTGGGACAAGGATTTCCAAAATGTCTTCCTGGTTCAGTGACTGGATTTTTTATTTATTTTAAGGTTACTTTAAAAATGTAATCTGTTTGAATGCCTAGTACCTGTACAAATAAGTAACCTTATCTGAGTATCAAAATATAAAAGTAATGTAACTTGATTACTTTCTGTTACTTTGGGATTACCTCAAATTCAAATGAGTTATACATAAATAAAAGAGTAACTAAATATCAATAAGATGTTTTTAACTTAAGTGTACTATGTAGGAAAACAGAGCAATGAGACCTTTGAAAAGAAAAACCAAGATATTCAGGATCAGAAAAGATTTTATTTTTATGAGAAGCTGCCTTTCACTCAGCAGAGTCCGGCAGCAGCCTGTACACCAACACTGAAACACTTGAGCACATACTACAGGTTAAAAAAGCAGAAATAAAACCTGAGCTGACAGAAAATGCTCTGTTTTACTTTAACACACACAGTTAAGCTCACACACATTATTTTATGAACATACAGGTTCACCTGCTGAATTAAAACAGAACAAATGAACAAAGAAAGTGAAAACCATGAAGCAGATTCAGGCAGTAGACGTATAGACTCACACTGAAAGTATTATCCTACAGAACAGTACAGCTCTAAGAGAAGAGATCACATCTGATCCTTTACATCAAACACTAGATGCTCTTTTTAGGTTTACTGACACTGTAATGCTGTCAGGAAACTTCATTCTCCAGAAATCTAACACTTACTGTATCTGATAACCTTTTGTATGTATTTGTAATGGAATACACCATTTGTTTGTATCCTGATTATCTAATCCCATTACCTGTAATCCCCAAGCCTGAGTATTTGAAACTAAATACATACTCAGCTTTTAAACATTTAAACGAGTTAACTTGTGTGTCAAAATATCATTTTGCTGCTTTGTTCATATTTCCTTCCAAAAGTATTAATTTACTTTTCTCATTTCCTATTCCTCCCACCCCCTTATCTTCCCCATCGTCTATTACATCTCCCCTCCCTTTTGATTGGTTTCTCTCTGTCTGTTGTCACCTGCTTACTAATCTGTCTGAACCACCAGCTCACCTCTTCTCTTGCTACTGCGCTATTACTGTTCTTCTAATATTATAGTACAATTTATTTTACCAACTCCATTACTTCTCCTACACTTATTTTGCTTCCTGTGTCTTGTGCATAATGATGTGTGTGTGTGTGTGTGTGTGCGTGTGCGTGTGCGTGTGCGTGCGTGTGTGTGACAGACTCTGGACGACCTGGAGGAGAGGGTGAAGGAGGCCGGGATAGAAATCAGCGTTCGTCAGAGCTTCCTCTCCGATCCTGCTGTGGCTGTCAAAAACCTCAAGGTGCCAGAATCCCCCCCCCCCCCCCCTATTCTCATTACTCATACACTGTAGCAGGCAGCTGAACACCAATCAGCCGGGCCTGCTCTGCTCCAATCAGCACAGAGAGCTGCTGGATGCTTAGCAACAACAGCCCAGAACTTCCAGAAGCAGTGTGGAGCCCAGAGTGTGGAGTCACACAGGAAGAGGCTCCAGCTGTGAGCACATCTGTGGTCCAGGCTGGAGACAATACTGAAGGCCCTCAGAAACATCTCCACTGTTATCACTAACATATCTCTATGAAGAAATGAGAAGCTGAGTTGTTGCAGAGCTGTCAATGTTCACACCATCATTATTCTGAGCATCATCGTGCATGTTGGTCAGGGGGATGCTCCTCCTGACAACTTGTGGAAATGTCTTTGAGCAAGACCATAAAAGAGGCCCTGCTATTCTTCTTGGGATTTCCCTCTCCTGTGGTGTGTTGTGTTTTTGTGCATGTCAAATCCCTGTGTTCCCTCCATAGGACTCCTTTGTTTACTTCCGTGACCTAATGGTCAGCTCATTCCTCTCTCCTCCGTTGTCACCAACCTCGGTGTAAGGTTTGACCCCACTCTGTCTTTCCAAGCCCACATCAAACACATCACCAAGACCTCCTTCTTTCACCTGAAAAACATTTCCCGACTGAAGCCCTCACTCTCAACTGATGACATCAAAAAACTGGTTCATGCACTCGTCTTCTCAAGACTAGACTATTGCAATGCACTCCTCTCCGGTCTCCCAGCCAAATCCATCAACCGCCTGCAACTTGTCCAGAACAGCACAGCCAGAGTTCTCACCGGTGCAAAAAGGTCCGCACACATAACCCCCATACTTGCAAAACTACACTGGCTCTCGGTCCACTACAGGATCCAGTTTAAGGTTCTGCTCCTCACGTACAAAGCCCTGAATGGACAAAGCCCAAAATACCTCTGTGACCTCATCCATACCCAGACATCTACCCGCTCTCTCCGCTCCAGCCACGCTCCTCTTCTTCACATCCCCCGCACACGTCTCCGAACAATGGGAGACCGAGCCTTCTGCTCATTCGCCCCGCGCCTCTGGAACTCCCTCCCAGATCAGCTGAGATCTGCCCCTTCCACGAGGTCTTCAAAACCGGCCTTAAGACCCTCTTCTTTCGGCAGGCCTTCCAATAAACTTTGAGCATGGTACACCTGGAATACTGCCATTTTTTTATCGCTATCACCGACTTTTATTTTTGTACTTTATTTTATATTTTATATTTTATTTTTTGATTTCTTATTATTATTACAATTATTTGTTTAATCTATCAAAGTGTATTAGTATCCTTTGTTGTGAAGCACTTCGAGATTTGTCTTGGCAGATGAGAAGCGCTATATAAATTAAATGTATTATTATTATTATTAATGATATCACTATGCAAAACCTGTGTTTCGATTGGCCAGTGCTCCAACACAAATGTCCATGATAGGCTAAGGGGCAGGATATCTCTTAGCGGTGGACCAATCACAACAAAGCTGGCCAGCTAACCAATCAGATACAAAATAGAAATCAGGATCCTCTCTATGGTGCACCTGTAGAAGTTGCAGAGTATCCTGGAGTCCATGCTGAAATTGCTGACGTAGGCATGTTTACGATAGAAAAATGTAATGTTGGCTAACAAGTTGACCTTTTTATTAATAACCTTAAAACAGCAGTTGAAACATTTCAGCCGAACGAGTTGAAGACTTGAAGTGAAGTTTGTTTTATGACTGCTGTTTCCAAGGTTCAGAATGAATCCTCAAGTTATTATGAAATGGTTTTCTTGGAGAACCTGCCTCTGCCCGTGTTAACTGGATGGAGGATTACCTAAGATCAGTGCATTGTGTTTAGCTTGAGGATTTGTCACGCCGGCCCACTCAAAGTGAGTGTTCCTATTTGCACAGTAAATAATAGTAGATAGTTGTATCAGCATCAGATTAATCACTTTATTTAGGACGAAGTTGAAGCAACTGAAGACAAATCTTAGGATGTTTATATCTAATGTAATTTCAACACATCCTTGGCTTAATTTCTTATCCATCATTCTCTTTAAACATTTGGCGAACAGCGTTTTGTTTCTGGGCGGCCTGTGATTAGCTGACATCACTGCTGACACATATAAATATCAGACAGTGTTTGAAGCAATGCACAGGACTGAGCTCCTCTAGGCTAAGCTGCCCCGTCAGCATGTGTTTTTTGAATTTCAAATATAAGTCTGACATGGGTTTTAGCTACAAATATCTGCATAAACAGAGGATACTGAACCTGTATCTTAGTACCTGTTATCCTTCTGTCTCTTCCTTCCACCCATGTGTCAGAGTGACTCGCCTCTTCCTGGCCCACTCACACTTAACAATGACCTTGAACAGCATGCCGGCCTAGTTTAGTGCAAGATGAATAGGTAACAGTATGAATGTCCCCCAGTGGAGAGGAAGTGTACTGCAGGGGCTTTAACTTGTTTGTGTGTGTGTTTATTTTATTTTGATCTCCACCCTGTGTGTGACACTGTCCTTGTATTTTATCTTTTAAGCGCCAAGATGCCAGGATTATTGTCGGCCTGTTCTATGAGACGGAGGCCAGGAAAGTCTTCTGTGAGGTAAGGTGTTTATCCTTTGCTACCAGGAATTTAGAGATAGATAGACGGATACTTTATTCCTCCCAAATTGGAAAGTTATTTTGTCACAGCAGAAGTGTTGTCAAGTATTACACATGAGTGGAACATATTTAAAAGAAACATTAAGATACAAATATAATACAAATAAATATTAACAATAACAGCAAATATATACAAAGTTACAATATAAAAGGCATATATCACTAGAGTATCTAAACAATACACAATTTAAAGAAAATACTGAATACATTTGAATACTCTACAATATACAATTTCACTAGACAACTGAAATACACTATATAGAAATATACAGAAACATATAGACATTGGTCAGTGATTCCGCCGACATACACCAAGGCTAAATACATTTCTTAGAAGTGTTACTCATGACAGTGTTCTCTTAAACTTTGATGCACAAATGACCCTATCTGTGACGACACATTCGGTCATATTGCCTGACAGTCGTTTGCCTCAAAGTTAGAGCCCTAAGATTTTAGTCAAACTTTTATTTTGAGTCTACAGAGACATGATGGATGTTAAAATGGATCAAATCCATCCATCACATGCAATATGCCAATGGAGGGCAACGGATGCATGTAACGGGATTAAGTAAAAAAAGTTAATTGTATTCCCTTAGTTAAAAAAAAACTATGTAATCAGATTACCGTTACATTTCTATGACGTGGGGAATTGCTAGCAGGATTACAGTGTCAGTAAAACTAAAAAGAGCATCTAGTGTTTGATGTAAAGGATCAGATGTTCTCTCTTCTCTTAGAGCTGTACTCTTCTGTAGGATAATACTTTCAGTGTGAGTCTATACACCTACTGCCTGAATCTGCTTCATGGTTTTCACTTTCTTTGCTTCATTTGTTCTGTTTTTAATTCAGCAGGTGAACCTGAATGTTCATAGAATAGTGTGTGTGAGCTTAACTGTGTGTGTTAAAGTAAAACGGAGCATTTTCTGTTGGCTCAGATTTTTCATTAAAGCAGATTTGAAACTGTAGTACAGTATGTGCACATGTGTTTCAGTGTTGGTAGGCTATATAGGCTACTGCCTGAATCTGCTGAGTGAAAGGCAGCTTTTCCTATAAATAAACTTGCTATCACTATTGTTACAACCCGGCTCGTGGGCTGTAACAAAAAGCTGGGAGTCGAGACGAGGGGTATGAAAATATAACAATCATTTATTAGTGGACACAAAAACAGACAGCCGCGCGAGACTCCAAAACGCGATGGGCTGTCATATAGCAGCTGCCCCGGTGTGTGTGTGTGTGTGTGTGTGTGTGTGAGAGAGAGAGAGAGAGAGAGAGAGAGAGAGAGAGAGAGAGAGAGAGAGAGAGAGAGAGAGAGAGAGAGAGATATAGATAGAAGAGACGAGAGAAGAGAAGAAGAGGAGAGAGATGCGATAGCTAGATATTCAAAGTGTGAGATGATAGTGAACTTGTCATAAAAGGTTCATGGAATATCAGTGAACCATATTCATAAACAGCTCATAACAAAGTTGATGAACTGTTCATGAAAGTTCCATGAACATTAAATGGCACTAGGGCAGTTCATGAACTACTCATGAAACTCCTGTGCTGGAATGGTTCATGAACAATTCATGGAATATGGTTTTAGGCAAGTTCATGAACAATTCATGAAATGGAGTTTTCAGTGAGTGTAGGGATATTCAGTATTCAACCAAGAACATTTCAAGAATTGTTCATGAATTAACCATGGTTCATGAACATATCAAGAACTGTTCATACCCAGTCACTGAATATAATTCAATGGCTGGCTATGAACTGTTCATGAACCATTGACTGTGGGTCAATTGGCAACCATAGAAAACAACAATTATGTCAATCACAATGGAACTTTACTCAAATTAACAAACATACATGTATACAGGTGGATCACTACAATTAATCCTCTCACTATTTGAAGCACAGTTCTTGACACTCAGCTGCACAAAATGTTTTGTTACGGGTCCCAAAAGCTTGGGTACCATAGCAACAATAAATGATTTCTGTAGAAAACAGAAAAGTGCAGCAGCAATAATTATACACAGGATCCGGTTGATCGTCTGGATTGCTTTTTATTCAAAATTCAAAGTACACAGTTACATTCAAATAGCTGTACTTTACAAACATCACATTTCTCCATTTAAGTTATCCGTCTGTCACAGTCCATTACTGTATCTCAAGGAGAAATTCAACATAGTCAATATAAACACATAACGCTATCAAATAATACTTTCTATCAATATATCTATCTTTACCAAATATAACATATTATGGAGATCACAAAAATACACTGTCAATGTTAATAAACAAAAAACAAGGCAATGTGCCTGCAAGACTTCACTCAAGTAAACAAAACATATTACCCGTGCGCAGCAGCTAACCTGCCTGCGAGCCTTCGCTCAGGTCACATTTACCCAGGCGCGGCTGAAGCCCGCGAAAATGGCATCTATTGTTGCCGACAGTTTAGTATTTTTAAAATACCGTTACTATCTCAAACATGCTCAAAACTTTCTGACACACTCTCCTAAACATCTCCAACATCATATCTAATTCACACAAGTTAACATCGATCAGAAAAACAGAAAAGTGCAGCAGCAATAATTATACACAGGATCCGGTTGATCGTCTGGATTGCTTCTGAGAGGAGGGGGCGGAAGTGTCCCCCCTAAAATAACCCAGATGTCACCGCTCACCTGCCAAAGGTTCCACCTTGGCGCTACTTACTCGTACTGCTTCTCAAACAGTACAGATAAACCATAAAATGATATGAATGTCACCAAAATAAATACAGATAATGTTCAGTTTCAAATTCACTATATTGTTTTGTTTTAAGATTAAAAGTTTTAAAAAATAAAGAAATGTTCAAATAGTAGATGAATATTCAAGAGGTCTTTAAAATCATCACACTGATCATCAAAGGTTCATAAAATGCTCATGAATATTCAAAAATATTCTGAACTTGCCACAATCATCCAAAATTCATGAAATGCTCATAGTCATGAAAAGTTCATGAAATGCTCATGCAAACTTTTTGGGGTTTTAATTATAATTTTGTGATTGGCTGGATCATGAAAAGTTCATAAATTGCTCATAAAAGTCTGTCATGAGCTAAACAGGAACTTTATATGAATGAACAATGTTCATACAAATTTCATGAACTGCTCTTTAAAATGGTTCATGAGCATTTTAAGAATGTTGGTTCATGAACATGACAAGTGAACATATAATGATTTGTGTTCATGAACAGCTCACAAAGTCATGAACTCCATCTCGCAGGGGGACAGTTAAAATAACTAAATCAATGCAAACACTATGACCTGCGTGTTGTCTATTGGTCCTCAGAGAAATCATTTTGACTCTTGCCCTCTTCTCTCTTTCTTTAAATGTATTAAATATGAATGTCTTTGTTCATGCGTCATATTGTTTCCACTTCTCTCCCTTTCCTTTGCAGGTGTACAAGGAGAAGCTGTATGGGAAGAAGTACGTGTGGTTCCTCATCGGCTGGTACGCAGACAACTGGTTTAAGATCAAGGACCCGTCCATCAACTGCACTGTGGAGCAGATGACGGAGGCTGTGGAGGGCCATGTGACCACGGAGATCGTCATGCTCAACCCGGAGACGGTGCGCGGAGCCTCTAACCTGGTGAGACAGACGCTCAACAGAATCATTATCAGATGCAAAGGCTGCTGGGAATCTGTGATGAGTACACTAACGCAGTTTAAGCCAAAAACTCTTTGATAACTTTACTATTAAAATGTGTAAATCCTCTTCAAGAAATATCTGAAGATACTAACTAAAGATACATTTAACATTTTCCAAGATCTCTCAACCTTTTCCATTTAGGATATATAAAAGAATCAATTCATCAATTTGACTGGGAATTTCATAATTGGTGTAAATTGGTGTTCTGATTAATTTGAACATTGGAGGATGCTTTGAGTCATATCAATCTGCAGAAAGTCCGGTCAATTTAACGTCAGCTCTGGACAGTAGACATTCGTTTTTTCCATCAGAAAACACAGTGGAATACTTTTGTATGATTCATATTTATATGAATCATAAAGCGCACGAAACTCATGATGGCTAAACCGTCCCCCCAGTAAAGAGAAGAAAAAAGCGAAGAGAAGGACAGAGGTGAGAGCTGGACGTCAGAGAAACCAGCAGAAGAAGACAGACAGGAAGTAAACACTAAAGGGAACAGCAGAAGAAGACAGACAGGAAGTAAACACTAAAGGGAACAGCAGAAGAAGACAGACAGGAAGTAAACACTAAAGGGAACAGCAGAAGAAGACAGGCAGGAAGTAAACACTAAAGGGAACAGCAGAAGAAGACAGACAGGAAGTAAACACTAAAGGGAACAGCAGAAGAAGACAGACAGGAAGTAAACACTAACAGGAACACGGTATGGCCTCTGAAAGTGTTCAAAGATGAGTTAATGGGAGAGAAAATGTGAAAAGACTTGGACTGTTACAGAAAACTTTGATCTCCAGTCAAGTCTACTTTTCTCCCAGGGGAGCAGGACCCCCCACAGAGTCCAGGCTTCCCCCACCACAGCCTCACATGTACAAAGACATTATTTAAGGCGACCAACATTTTATTATTGACTCCAATAAACTGAAAACTCAGTGAGTGAGAAAGGGTTTAAGACAAAAGCACTCAGACTGGACAACACCGTGGATATCACGATATTGGCTCCCCACAATTAAAAGAACTGTGATATTAACGTTTTAAATGCAGGCTCTGCTCACTTAAGCTCCATATAAACACATTACATCAGTGTGATGAGATGGCCCTGTTGATAGAAGTGTGTGTGAATAAACGTGGTAGCACTTAAAATGCAAGAATGGGCTGTTATTGATCAACGTGCGGTGAAGTGATGCTGGTTGTGTGAGGCGGAGACAGAATCCAGAAAAAAACAAACTGGTTTCTGTCTTTCCCTTTCATCTTCAGCTGTGTCTGAACGTCATTCACCAACCACTCCCTCTATCTCCAACTGACGATGTGACCAGGGAACTAAATGATGCATTTGATCTAACTATCCATGATTGTTGTCCCCCATTTTCATGTGATTAGCATAGGAGGGCACGTGTGTAAAGAGGAGACTCAAAAGTGTCCATAGAACCTACAGTATATTCATACATGTATAGATATCTTGAGGTGAGAGGTCAATAGATCTCTTCGAAAAATGGCTATTCCAGTTTTTCCCTCTGCAAAATGTGGACTGACTTTGCAGCAGTATTGAGCCTCAACTGTTTTTATGGTTTCATGTGATTCCAGTATCTTCACTGTCTTAAAACGCCGGCTGCATTCGATCTTTGCTAGACATGATGACTGATGATAGAGTTTTAAGAATGGGTTTTTAAAAGGCTGTACCCCCATTTTCTTTGAGGTAACTGGTGGTAGAGGAGCTTACAGCCTGGGAAGATGGATTTGCATGATAATGGATGCATTGCACTTACTTAAAACTTAATGTTTTGTAAAAGCAGAAAATACATTCTAGTTAGTCAGAAGACTAAGGCACATGGGCATACCATGTGACTTATCTCCAGAAGGCGTTATGTTTACAATCAGAATGAAATTAATTTATAATCAGCCTATCAATCACAATTCAAGCTGCAAAATACCATTCCAAAGTCACTGAAGTATGGGAACTTTTCCCAACAGACAATTCATGACTGTGCCGCCAAATTAGTTTAGTTTTCGTTTGTTTGATATTGCCAGAAACCTTTGAGATTCATTATAAAATCCACTTATTCCAAACATCTTATTGCATCCAATTTGGTTTAAAAGATTCATCAGACTATGAAGGAAAACACTGCACAGCGGTTAATAATACTATGAGACACGGCCAGTCGTGGGAATTGATGCAAACAGTAAAATATGACCATGTAAATAATAGAAATGTGGTCTGCACATCTTGAATTTGACTAACCCGGTGGCCTGCCTGATGATTGCATTGTGGCAAGTGTTTTTTCATTTTTGGTTTGGCAACCTTGTTTGCTTTAGCTTAGCGCAGTGGTCTTATGAACAGAAATGAGGTGGCATTTTTCGATGCAGTGTTGTTGTTGTTGTCGGTCTAAAACTCAAAAAGGAAATATCTACATTTTGCCAAATGCTGGGCATGAGCAAGCAAGGTGAGTGCAGTGTCCTTATGTCCCAGGTCAGGCTTCAATAAATGCATTTCTGGATGAACCAACAGCGGCGACTGTTGGCTCAGAACATCAAGCTCATAGAGAGGCTAGCATATAGCAACATTAGCATCCGGAGAGTGTTATTCATTAAGTTTTGGCAAGAGTTAAGAGAGTTAAGAGACTAACAGATGTTTCTTCAAAGTACTTTTGAAAGTGCTTGCCTTTTTCAAACAGTTTCCAATGACGACTTTTTGGAGGGTTCGTTGTGTACAAACAATCTGGTCCGCCTAGTTAGGGAAATGCATCATGGGATATAAACAGCTTTTAAATGTAAGCAAAAACTGATTATTTAAATGTTGTCTTAAAATGTATTTTTCAGCATAACCAAATAACATTACAATTTCTGTGAATTACCAACACACTTTGCTAATCAAGAACGCTAGCTGGTAATAGTATGTACTGATAACTTAGTGCATGCTATGCCAACAGAACATCCTCTCGTCCACAACAAGGTCACTACAAAAAACCTCACTCCTCTGATGGAAACCATGAGCATACATCCTACCATACCTTTCTTTCACCAACCTTTACTCTTGTTGCAAAATGATGCATCTGTCTCATATGTGTTCATTAGTAATTGCCCTTTAGTATTCTAAACGTCTGTAATAACCTGATACCAACGCATATCTTCACCTCAGATCTCATAAATGACACATACCACTCAATCTTTGCCAAGAGCTTTGTCCCTCTAAACCAGGGGTCTTAAACTCATTTTAGTTCAGGGGCCACATACTGCCAAATTTGATCTCAAGTGGCAGTGTGAGATTTAGCCTATACATAACCACAACTCCAAAGCTTTCCCTTTGTTTTAGTGCAAAAAGTACATTCTAAAAATGTTCACTTTTAATGAACCATCAATACAACACAATTTGAACAACCTAAATTGTAAGTGCAGCTTCAACAATAGTATGCCTCAGTTTATCATTTACACATGTGCATTACAATGTAAAGATAACAGTGTGTGTATAAAGGCACAACACTTAGTCACCGCTATCTGGAACTGAACTATAGTATTTACTTTGTGATGCAAACAACTTGTCCAGATCTAGAAATGATTTCACATTCATTTCCAGATCCGTGTTGTAATCCTGACCACCTGAACTAACACCACCATAAGAACTATTAAGGAAGAAGGTTAAGTTATCCCCCTGCCTTGTAAATGTTTACAATGTATACATACAACATATATAAAAGTTTCAAAACTTACAGTTAATGTAATCCTTTTAACACTTTTGAAACTCAGTTGTTGGACCCTCTGGCGCACGTTTGTCTGAACTGGATGGTTTCAGTCACAGTGGTGCTTTGTATTTTCCGAACAGTCTTTTCCTGGTCAGCAGTGTCAGGAGTCATTCATCTTTGGCAATAATATTCCACCAAAATATTACAATTACCTTGCAAGGCTGAACTGAAAATATAGTGTGAAAGGGTTAAAGTTGTCTGATGCAAATGCTTTTTTCATTTACAAAGTGCAATGGATCATCTTCCTAAATGTGTCCAGTTTGACAGGTGGCATGGTAGTGATGGCTATTAGAAATAGTGCAGGTTAAAGATTGCTTCACTTTACAGACCCAGAGGTTGCCCAGTGCCTCGTCCTCCAATGAGATGTTGTTCAGAGGATTCACCATCACCCCCCCCCCCCCCCCACAGGCTAAAAACAGATCAGTGTTTAATAATGGCCTACTAGCCAGAAGGCACCGGCCGTGTCCTCTAAATTCAGACAACTGACACAATTGGTGGAGCCTTTGGGGCGGCTTGTCAATATGGTCTGCCATCTTTGATCCACAAATGAGGCGTAATTAGGTTGTTACACCATGTGTTATTGAGATTGTGCCAGAAAGCAGTCCAGTGTAGTTTTCAGAGTAAAGTAAGTCTAAAAAACATTCCCACCGTCAGGGATTTCTTCTTTGTTTATGTTAAGCTAACTTGCCTCTGGTTGCCAGTGTGAATTATACTGCTTCTCATCCCTCTCCATCCAGCACACCTTTAGTTTAGATCATATATTAATCCCAGTTTTTCACTCTGGTTTTATTTGCAATTCTGCACAGTGTTCTGAAAAACACACACACATAAATACAACCTATAGTCACCAATGGAGAAGAAGTCACTGCCATTGTTCCCGGAACAAGAAGTTGGGGTTTGGTTACTAGTTCCCACTTTTTCTTTTGGTCCGATTGGGACTCAAACCGCAGAGCCGTTAGTTCCCTTGTCTACAGACTGGGTTTGTTTCAACAAACCTTTCTGATAAACTCATCCAAACTTTGTAAGGGGTTCTAATGTTTATTTTAACTTGTGTTTTATCATTGTACCAAGGTTGTTGCTCTATTTTTATGTTCGGTCTAACAAAAGCAAGTTCGGTAGTTGATCAGACAGATTTAGAACAAGCCTCCAGACACACTTCCTTTGACCTCCCTCACCTGCTTCCACTGTGGACTCTCATGGTGTTCCTATGCAATGAGGGATTACCATCTATTATTAGAGTGCACCGTATTACAGCCAAACATAGTGGTTTAGATCATCTAATTAAATCCTCTCATGTTTTCTTTTGCCACATTGGAACTATAAATACTGATGTTGCCACGTCTTGAGATTCCCGGAAATATTTTTGTAGTTATAACATTATCATAATTGATAGACCGAGCTTGACATTTAATTGGTGCTGGGCAACAACAACAACAAATGATCATGATTAATCGCATTGTTATGCGCATAATTCAATAATGAATTAAAAAGTAGTGTATTGCGCACTTTATTTAAAAGTACTGCCATATGAACAAAAGTGCAACAACATTTGGTTTGTAAACACTTAAAACAATAAGGTGCTTTTTAACAGCAGCATTCCTTTCACACAGTAGCAGTTAAAATACTCCTTGTAAATCTCAACTTAAACATAAATTAATTTAAATAAATCAAATATAAAACCAAAGCTATTAGTCACTGCAAGGGCATTCATGTTTCTTCTAGCTATAGAAGAACAAGTTACCCTCAGAGTCCAGAGATAAAACAATTCCACTCTGCAGGGGTTCCAAATAGCTCTGGTTCTATCAACTCCTCCTCAGACCCAGGGTGTGTCTGTGTGTGTATTCAGAGCCAGTGAGCAACGGACTTTCAAACTAATAATATGAATTCAAAAACTGTTAATGCGCGATAAACTAATTGTCGCTGTTAATGAATGAATGCGTTAACACGATAGTAACGCTGTTTTGGAAGCTGCTGCTCTGGCCCTCAGCCAAGAAGAGTCTAATGTGGGTCATCTTATTGGCACTGAGAAACAAGAGATCTGGCATGTCAGTCCTTAAGGCTGTTCTATAGACCCACTGTCCATTAGTTAAGCCTGCTAAGTAACAAGTTACAATTGAAGCCACAAAGGTATTGGCATGTAAAAGTACAAATGTTTCCCAATGGCTCATTTCATAATAATAAGTATGATCACTCAAATGTACTTCAAGTAAAAGTACTGTTATACGCTATTGATTTTTTCACATTATTATAATATGTAATATTATAACTTTATCCTGATTTATACATTTAAGAGCATTTTAGTATTGTAGTTTGTCAATGTGGACCAAATGTGTATACTTGATATACTTTACAGATTAGAAGTATAGTACTGCGTTATATTGTATTTTTACTTTTACTTGAGTAAAGGGTCTGAGTTTTTCCAACCCTGGTGCCACCTTAAGGGAGCATCAAGAATGACACTCAAAGTTGCAATAAACTAAAAAACAAAAAAATATCCCTCAAAATATTCATAAAGGTATAGTATAGTATAGTATTCGTTTATTAGTCCCCAAGGGGAAAATGGGTTGCAGCACATCACAGAGGCATTTAAAAAAGTTAAGACGATACATCACTGACAACAACATAGACACAGATAAAAACAAACAGACATAAGAAAACCAGATATCGGCAGACATGACAAGGGGCCTATAGGCCCTCATTTGCGAAATAGGGGGGACAGGGCCAGACCAGCTGGGTAAACAGTGCGTCCTAGCCATCATTTGTTCAGGAGTTTGATGGCTTGTGGGACGAAAGACAGCCTAGATCTGTTTCTACTTAGAGGGATAACACCTTCGCCTTTTTTAATTAATTGTGTTATCATTTTAGATACATGTGAGGATGTGCAATAAACACATTCAAACCAACGATCCAGATGTTCTGAACATCATTTATAACCACTCTCTCTCTTCATGACCCCCCTCTGCAGACCTCTCAGGAGTTTATAGCCCAGCTGATGTCCAAACTGGGGGGTAAAAACCCAGAGGAGACGGGGGGCTTCCAGGAGGCCCCCCTGGCCTACGATGCTGTGTGGGCATTAGCTCTGGCCCTCAACAAGACCGTGGGACCCCTGAAGGCCAAGGGTCACCGACTGGAAGACTTCAACTACAACAACCGAGACATCACGGCTGAGATCTACAGAGCCATGAACACCAGCTCCTTCGAAGGAGTGTCAGTGAGTACTGCCTCAGAGGGAGGAGAGAGCTTCATAACATAGGAGAGAGGGGAGAGTTTAAATGAAGGAGGGGGGTGTTGAAATATTAAAATGCAGCTTCTTCTTTCAGGGTCATGTTGTATTTGACGCTCAGGGGTCTCGAATGGCCTGGACTCTGATTGAACAGCTTCAAGGTATGTCACAGCACTTCCCTGCTTTAAAATGGAATGGATTTAAATAAATCAGCCTGGTACAGGGATCACCAACCGTTACTGAAAGAGCCACACATACATTTTGTCTGGAGCCGCAAAGCATATATATATATATGATAACACCCCCTATAAAGTCATACGTACAGTTCTCCTGTATACAGAGACGGTAGTCTGTTGCATTAAAGGGTTTTCCCTCTCCTGTTGTGTGTTCTATAGGTTTGAGTGCATGTAAATGGTCTGTAAAGGCCCCCCCCCCTGGACTCCATTGGACTCCATTGGACTCCTTTGTTTACTTCTGTAACATAATGACACCTCTATGTAACACTCGCACTTCTATTGGCTAGCGCTTCAACACATTGTACGTGATAGGCTAAGGGGCGGGACATCTCTAGGCTGTTGACCAATCACAACATAGACTGCCAGCTAACCAATCAGAGCACACTGGGCTCTGGTTTCACACAGAGGGTGAAAAGAGGTTCTCAGCACAGGCAGTATGAGAAGAATAAAGCATGGAGACATGTCACAGTAAAGACACTACATACAATATGAATCTGCATAATAGGGACATATATAATCAAGAAAACTGTTGACATTTTATTGCTGTTTTTGTCTGTTAAAACTTTAATGAAGAGGAGACTTTGAAACAAATAAAACACAGATCTCAGCAGACCTATTTGATTCCTCTCCACATATGGGAAGTCATTCAAATAAAAAGTATCCGACTTTGAAATGAAAAACACACATAGCTGCAGCCTAATAGTGTAAAAAGAGGTATATACAAATATATGCCAGTTTGTATTTAGTTATGACTTTCATCCGCTTCAGTATGTAGTCACCTTTTCCTTCAGCCACGTACAGCAATCAACAGTACCTCTATAACAGCGCTCACTGTTTCATATCGTTTACACTCATCACAGGTGGTTACAATTATACTTACATTTGTATATACTTAGAATTTACAGTCTCAAAAAGGAGGATTTAGTTTTAAGACGCAGGATACATTTAATTCTTGTTTCTCTCAGGAAACACTAACTGTGTTGTTCAGATATAGTCTGCAGACACTGGAAACAAAACTTGTCTCCTGCAACAATCCAATTATGACTGTGAAGCAACCCGCAGGCCAGCCAGTTCCTGTTGGATGCTTGGAGCAGGATGGAGGTGGCTGAGTGATCACAGGGCCACGCTGGGTCTTATCTATGTGGCTCTGCTGGCTGGCTGCCCTCTGATCAGCGAGCCTGTGTTCTTCCATTCAGACTCTGTCTCTGTCACAGTGCTGAGATCTGGCTCTATTGAGGCTCTCTGCATTCGTTGGACTGAACAAAAACGAAGCTTGTTCCGCAGATTTCCTTTGTTGGTGCCGGCCTCTATCATCCCACAAGAGCAGGGTCAGTTCTGAGCTGCAATTAGTTTGATGCTAATTGGAAGCGTCTGGCCCCGGGCTGTTCTTTGGTCCAGTTTCAGCTTGAGGGGAAAATACATGGAAATAAAATACTCGGTGAAACCCGTTGCAGCTTTTTAACATAAACATGAATTGGCTTCTGTAGTTCCACTGTTGTATTAGTAAGTAGTTATATCCACTATAAGAAAAAAGATTGTAGCCAATCCCTAAACAAGATCTCAGTCTCATGGTGGTAGCCTCCCTGTTTTCATAATGAATATAACTGTATTCACAAACTAACAGACAAAATAGTTCGAAATAGTTTGTAATACTAATTAACTCACAACTCCTTTCAAATAAGAACTATAAACTACTATCTTTACGATTCATTGCATATATTAGAAGTTGCTCTGCATAAAAGTGTTAGCGAAATGAAATGTAATGTAATATAGAGCTGATTTTGTCCCTGTTGGCACAACATAACCTGTAAATAACAATATCACTTGGACACAACTCACAACTAAACACGGACAGTGTTTTATGCAATTTGATGTTCTTTACCCAATTGGTTTATTAATTTAAAGGCTAGCATTATGCTACATTTTTAGCAACATGTATGGGACTCCACGACGGCAATGTTGGTTGGCCGTCCACCAATGTCGTCCAGACGAAAATATTTCCAACTTCAGGATAAATACTCACAACAACAATGGGGGGACTGCGTCGGGTCGATGATCGTGTTGCTTTTAATCACACGAAGCCAGATTAAATAAAATAACGACTTCTCCAACCTTATGCTTTTCTCCAGAGTGCCGTGGTTCATTGTTTATTAATGTGTTTCTGCGGCATTTACCGACTGCAGCAGTGCTGGCTGCTCTTCCACGGGAGTTTATTCTCCTGTTAGCTCCGGGTTAGCTCACACTGCAGCAGCCGCTGTAAAGTATTCAGCTTAACTGACTGCTTGTTGCTATCCTATTTTGGCATAAGCCGTTTTCTACAGGCACATTTTAGCGGCGTATTTTTCATTATGATTCTACTTGTGATAGTCGGACACGACAACCTGTGCAGCCCATGTATTGATTCCATCCGATAGCTGCTATAATACAAAACAAAACGTCTGCCTCTCTCCACAATGATCAATAACAGTGAACGGATGGTCAAAGTGTCGTTTTTCTCATACTGATATTCTGAACAATCTGTGCTGTTGTATTTGCTGTAAAGTGTCTCTACTCTAGGCTATTTTTATTATATGTACAGTCTTTGGCTCGACCAAAAATCGTTTATAAATGTGCTATATAAATAAAACTTGATTTTGATTTGAAAGTAAGGTAAAAATAAACCGAATCACACAAAGCCTGGTTAGTGTTGCCTGACTTTATAAAGTGTGTTTTTTTTTTTATAAGTGTGTGGTTGCCTTCTAGTCACTTTGCTCAGCGCTACTGCTTGTTACAACTTTTATTTGCCGTACTCGCCTTTAACTGTTAGCTCAGGTTAATCTCGCCCCCCTCCGACGTAAGCGTGACGTATGCGGTTCTTGCTTCGAGACCGACAATCTGTTGGTGCTTGAAACGAACCGGATTCCGGAGCTTAGAGGCGGCTCCGCTGCGGTGTGAACAGGAAAAAACTGTGCTTTTCAGGCTCTAGCTCCGAACCGGCCCGGGAACCGCTTTGGTGTGAAAGCCCCATAAGTCAGAAATAAGAAGCTTTTCTTTTTTTAATGGTAAAGGTGCTGTTGAAACAGGTGGGTTTTCAGTCTGTGACGGAATGTGTGTTGACTTTCTTCTGTCCTGATATTAATGGAGAGCTCGTTCCACCATTTTGGAGCCAGGATAGCAAACAGATAGGTGTGTTTTTGTTGAGATGCATCTGGGTCCAACAGCTATCTGATTGGCCGATGCATGTGCTGGAGTGTATGGTTTGACCAAGTCCTGGATGTAAGATTGGATCCATTGACAGCACGGTAGGCCAGTACCAGTGCCTTGAAGCTGATTAAGGTAAGCTACTGGTAACGGGTGAATGGAGCAGAGGAGTGGTGTATTGTGGGAGAACTTAGGGAGGTTGAAGAATAGTCGGGCTGCTGAGTTCTGAATTAGCTACAGAGGCAGTATGGTACTTGCAGGTAGACCAGCCAGGAAGGAAGTAGTCAATGTTGAGGCAAATATTTCCTAGGCCAATCAATACCTTTGACCCAGTTTATTCCTTCCTTATCCCCTTGCTCAGCACAGGCCTGCGACCTCTTTCTTTCTCTGAGAAAGTAGTTTTGTCTCCCTATTCCTGCCTGTCGGCGTCAGCTGATAGAGGTGTTGTTATGTGTTGTCATGCAGAAGGTTGATTATTCTCTGAGAACCAGCTAAATACATGGGACTGTGGGAGACATCTTCAGAATTGGTAAGCCAGGAGCTGTCACTTCGTGGCTGCAGCACATGTCTTTGTCAATTCTCCTGCCGTAACTTCCAATACATCTTCAGTGTCAGAATCAGAACCATAAACAGGTTTATTGCCAGAATCAGAACCATAAACAGGTTTATTGCCAGGTAGGTTCACATATACTAGGAATTTGACTTGATGTCATGGTGCATACATAAAATATAAAAAACAAGAAATCTAATATAAAACACTAAATCTTTTACACCGTAATAAAATACAGTTAAATAGCAATACAATTAAAATTAAATAAAGCAGTCATTTACATGGAAATAGAATGCTATGAGTGAATTTTTGCATATAAACTATGAAATGTGAAATAAGAATATGTGCAGTAAGGAGTATGACATTGTGTGCATTAATGTAATGCATATAGTCTATGTCTATGATGTGCCAGAGGTAAAGTGTCAGCGGGGGGGCCGGGTCTTGTTTAAGAGTGGAACATTCCTTCAGAGGCGGAAGAAGTACAAATAGAGAAGTAAAAATACTTGGTCTGAAATTAGAGGTAAAAGTCCTGAATTCAAAATGTTAAAGGGGCCATTTTCTGCTCATTGTCAGGTTCATAGTATTTAGTGTCTCTACTGTGACATGTCTCCGTGCTTTCATGTTCAAAAAGTGTTACATAGTGATGTCATTATGTTCAGGAAGTAAACAAAGGAGTCCAATGGAGGCTTCTTTATGTAAAGATATTATCAGAAAATGTACTCAAAGTATCAAAGTAAAAGTACTCAATACATACTATGGCTCTTTTGAAAGTATTATTTTATTATAGAATATTATATTATTGTGTTTTAATTGCCTAGAAATGCATGTAATAACTTTTTCAATGTTGTAATGTTTAATGAATTGTACTGTGTATATAAGGTGTACAGTACTATATCATATATAGAAAATATAGTACAGTACTTGAGTAAATTGACTCAGTACATTTTACCACTGAATGTATTAGCGTCAGAGACATCCCGTAACCCTCTGTCCCCCCCTCCCCTTTTCTCTCCCACACAGGAGGGAGCTATAAGAAGATTGGATACTACGACAGCACCAAAGGCAATCTGTCGTGGTATGGGAATGACAAGTGGATAGGTGAAGCATATTCTTCTTCTTCACCCCCCTCTTTCTCACTGTCTCTCTCCCTCCTCCTCCTCCCTGCTGTTCTCCTGCAGCTTCACCCTCTCCCCCTCTAATTCCTCTCCCTCCCTCCCACTCAGTGGTCAGTCAGCTGTTATTATGCATGTGATACAGCAGCACCAGAGTTAAAGTGCTGTGATGCTTTGGATGGTATTTCACTTACTGACTGAGCATGGGAGCCACCACAGCTCTGCAATAAATAACAGATGCTAGTTGACAGTCTAAACAAACCAGGAGAAAGCAATCTGGGTGCTGATGCAATGGGAAGGGGCCCCATGACCTTGACTTTGAGAATGAAATTGTGTTCTCTAATCGACACACAGGGAGGTGTGTGTGTCCATTCTGCCTCTGAGCACCGACAAGATGCACAAAGTGGTTAATGCTCTGAAAACTGGGCAGGGATTTTGTAAAAACAAAGTGGAGCGATGCATTGGTTAATGGACACCTTCAGTTGTTTATTCTCGGTGTTGTCTCAGACACAGCTGATTGGATTTCCTGTCATCGATTGTTTGAAGATTGGGGAGGTGTGTGTGGGCTGGGGAAACTATTCTAGAACTAAACACATTGATTGCAGTGCAAGCCAAGAATTATTCGGGAAATAATATGACATTGTTCTTGTTCCATTGTTATTTCAAAAGACCATACCACTGCTTTTAAATGTCCATTTATTTTTTTACAAATACATTTATTATATTCCGTAAATAATCAAAAGATGGTATACCTCATTAAAAGAGAGAGCCAGTCTTTTATTTGCACTTTTTCTGTTTTTTACATGTATGTTTAATTGTATTTCATTAAGTGTCTTCCTGTCTGCTAAGTTTTTGATTTGAAGTTACAAACCCAACATTTCTGTCATGTTTGCTTTCATATTGTTTTGATAAATTCAGTAAAAATGTACATTTCAGCAGCACTTATTCCATAATTTGTTCTCTTTTACTTTTTGTGGTGGTTTTAAGCAAGTGTTAAGTCTTCCGGTGGAGCCTGACGCCACTCTAAATATGTACAGTATATATACAGTACAGTTTTACTGGCTGTAAAAACTAGTTATTGTAACCCCAGCACACACACACTCAGGTCATCTGAGTGTGTGTGTGTGTGTGTGTGTGTGTGTGTGTGTGTGTGTGTGTGTGTGTGTGTGTGTGTGTGTGTGTGTGTGTGTGTTGTGTGTGTGTGTGTGTGTGTGTGTGTGTGTGTGTGTGTGTGTGTGTGTGTGTGTGTGTGTGTGTGTGTGTGTGTGTGTGTGTGTGTGTGTGTGTGTGTGTGTGTGTGTGTGTGTGTGTGTGTGTGTGTGTGACTCCTGTGGTTTTGACTGTTGGAGCCTGTGGTCTGTCTGTCTGGGCCATCTGGACTGCGTTTGGTAGTCAGCTGATGCTGTGGGACAGAGGATGAGCTGAGGAGTACAAAAAACTGTTTCATGTGCATGTTAGCCAAAGGCACTTGTCCCCCCCCCACACACACACACACACACACACACACACACACACACACACACACACACACACACACACACACACACACATTTGAATACTTATTTGGAGTATTTGGTTCCACAAATTATATTACATAAGACAGGGAATCAAATATATCGGGGCTAAGCAGCACAGAACACTTAGGGGAACACATAGCACCTCCTTCTCCACACGGCTAAGCTGCCAATAATAGCTGAAACAGAGCAATATTTGGCAATTTGTTTGGCTTTTCTCTTTGACATTCCAGCAATTCTCAGACCAATCATGGTGCATTTATATACATGGCCAAGACTTCCGAATATAAGTATGCTGTATCTACACTTGTACCCAAAGCTGGTTATCACATCGAGCAGTGGTTGGTATTTGATATACTTGTCCTGGAAAGCCCGGTCCATGTACAGGTCAAAGGCACAGCCTACTTCTAATATTAGCACCTCCCTGTGGTTGGTGTCAACAAAAACAACATCAGGTGTATTTGGGATGTTAGCAAAGACATCATTGGTAAAACCAAACCATTCTGGTAGCACTCTAGCGTGCTTGTACATTGCTGCGCTAGATGGTAAGATGTTTCGTACCGCATCAGACACAATGTCCACAATACGGTCATGACGGGCTATGTACAGGCGTTTGTATGCATTACATCCATTTGTTATGTGTGCAATGGATTCTAGGTGTTGTTGTGAATCCTGATGGTTTAAACAGAATGGAGTGTGAATGCGAGGGTACCAGGTGGACAGATTGTACTTAGTGGGTAATACCTGCAGTCTTGCTTTGATGGTAAATGTCAGAACATCCTCACCAACAGCGGCGTTCTTAAACACTGAGTGTGAGACTGAGTGGTCAGCAAACCCCAAACAGGCTAGCTTTCCCTGTAGTCTGAGTCCACACCAGTGCTGCCTGATCTCAGACTGCTTCATGCTGAGCAGAACCCTCCTTGCAGAGTCTCTGTGCAGTTCCACAGTCTCTTCCTGAGGTGTTGTGATGTCGGCCTTCACAACCACACTGGGGTCTGTGATCAGTTCATCAGAGACAGGGACTTCAGTCTGTGTGTTGAGTCTTGTCCATTTCAGCTGGACTCCAGTCCGATTGCAGAGGTCATTGAGATCTGGCCAGTCAGACCAGACCCCGAAGCCCCTGGCCTGAGAGTCCAGTTCCCCAGAGTCTTTCCTCCTGAAGCCGAGGAAGTTGTTCTGGTCTGCGCTGGCCAGGGGGATCTTCCTTCTGTGTAGATCCAGCAGGAGAGAGGCCCTGGCCATTTCTCTTACGGTGACATCATCATTGTTAAGCATGTGGATCAGGTGGGCTAGCCTGGTGGCTATGTAGGTCCACTCGACATTGGGGACTCCCAGCCCCCCCTCTCCACATGGGAGAAAGATGATGCCCCGTGTGGAGTGTGTGTTGAGGCCCACCCACTTTCTGACCAGCTGGACAGTTTTGTTTGTCATTTCTCTCAGTGCCTTGAGAGGGATGTGTACATTGGCAAAGAGATGTTGAATTTTAGCCAAAGCCACCTCTCTCACAGCCTGGAGCTTCATGAGGACGGGGAGGGGGGACAAGTCAATCAGGTGGAGACGATGGAGAAACTCTGTAGCGAGCTCCTCGACCTGCTCCCCCCACTCGCCAGCGATGTTAAACCTGTGGCCAAGGTATGGGTAGGTCTCATTACGGGAATACACCTTAATGGGTTGGCCCATTACAAGAAAGGAGGGGGGCTTGTCGTTCTTGGCCTTATACCAGCGGTTGCCTCCACTGTGGCGCTCATGGAGTACGGCACACTTAGCTTGCTTCACCTCCAGCCCTGACCATTGGAGGAACTCATCAGTGCGCGCCAGCATGTTAATGATGACATCCTCTTGTCGTGATGACACCTGCACGTCGTCAGCGTATCCCTGAACAGGATTTGGGGATTTGACATGCAAAGGAGCGCACTGGTAAATCCACTTCATCCATTGGTTGAGTGCTAGGATGAAGTTCACGGCACTCCAGGGACAGCCAGTTTTTATTCCCACCTTCAGTGCAATCGGCTCTGTGAGCTGCTGCCCACAGATAACCTGGAGAAATGAACCTTGGTACACATTGGATACAATATTCACCAAAGGCTGAGGCAGGTGTATTTCCTCTAATGCTTGTAGCATCACCTCATGGGAGAGTGCACCAAACGCGTCTCTAAAGTCCAAAAACACTGTGTAGAATTTAGATGATCCATGTTTGAAATCATCTATTCCGGTTTTTAAGCAAAACACATGTTCGTTCATTCCCTGTCTGTTGATATATGCTTTCTGATGGGGGGAGAGAATCCCTGTGTCCACCAGCCAGGGTAAGATGCGGGTGAGTAGGCACTTCATAAAGACTTTGTATACAGTAGGCAATAGTGAAATGTCACGCCAAGTGGAAGGATCATCTGGGACATTTTCCTTTTTTGGTATCCTGTGAATGAGGGCCCCTTTCCATGAAGCAGGCACCTTCTCATTGATCAGGCAGGCATTGAAGATGTGTGTGAGTGTGACTCCTGTGGTTTTGACTGTTGGAGCCTGTGGTCTGTCTGTCTGGGCCATCTGGACTGCGTTTGGTAGTCAGCTGATGCTGTGGGACAGAGGATGAGCTGAGGAGTACAAAAAACTGTTTCATGTGCATGTTAGCCAAAGGCACTTGTCCCCCCCCCCCCACACCACACACACACACACACACACACACACACACACACACACACACACACACACACACACACACACACACACACACACACACACACACACACACACACACACACACACAGAAGCAGCGTCCTTCCTGGCTGGCAGTGGACACAAATATGCAGGACAGTGACATGACAGAATCAGGCCGGCTCAAGGTGGCCAGCGGTTCAACTTGGATACTTGGTGCACTGCATGTCGTGGACCGAGAACACCTTTGCGCTGTCAACTTCAACCGTATAGTATGTTTGTAATTTCATTTAAGATACGGAAGTAAATTCAAATGAATGAATCTTGGTGTAGGTTTACACAGGATAAACAGCGGGCTCTAGGCTGAAAGTCTGGTGTTTGTTGGACCCTTCCATCCAATTGAATGGGAGGGATGAAACCCTCTGTAGTGGTCACACATGCAGAGCACACAGCACACACAGTGTATAGTAAACTACAGTATAAATAACCTAATGTACAGTATAATAGGTGCTGCTGCAGTGCTGGGCTGCGCTGAGGTGGAGAAGGTGTCTGCAGGTTATTATCTGAATAATCTTTCCAAATGTCCCTGAATTTAAGGTGAGTAACGGTAATTGACGTTAACTTTAAATATAACTATTGATTAGCAAACAAACAACCTTGCTATCGCAAGTTAACACTCTGTTCCATCACTCTGTAACTCTGGGAGGCGTGTGGCGCAGTGGGTTAGTGCGTTGGTATTGGTATCAGGGGGTCACAGGTTCAAACCCAACTGCACCAAAGTGCTCCTGTGGGGATTGCCCACAGTATTGAGTATGTAAGTCGC